TAGACACGTTGCTGCTTTAGATATAAACTATACATGTAATTTACCAATACATGTGATAAACTACGTCCTAAATATATTAAAATGCATAATTGGAATTTTCATGCAACAGCTAACACGTTTATTTTTTTATTCCGATCCAAAAGCAAAAACGTCAATTACTTTATTGTCAGCGAAATAAAATAAATAACCTATCAACCGTATACGAATCGAAAGTTTCATTGAACTAAATATTTACAGTGCATTAACATTAATTACTCGCTAGCGAGCGCGTAAATATTAATATGACAAACCGCTACTGAGTTACGTAACTAGCTATGATTTAAGCATGCATAAATGAATGTTCAAACGCTTTATCGATGTTCGTTACTCCTTTATGTTAAAACGGCTGGACGGATTTGGATGAAATTTTGTGTATAGGTGACCTGGAGTAATATGTCTTACTCTTTATATAATACTGGCCGAACTCGCGGCTTCGCTCGTGTTAAAACTATAGAAAAAATCTAAAAAAGTAGATTTTATACAAACTATCCCCTATTTTACCCCCTTGGGATGAATTTCAAGAAATGCTAAAACACGTATTTATTTAATTGTATTGAAGAGCATTTATATCAACTTTCATCATAAATATTTTTATAGTGCTTTCCCATGGGAGTAAGATAATCTATCCCGCGGTAAAAAATAGCCTATGTTAATCTCCACTCCTTCAACTATCTTTGCACAAAAAATCAAGCCAATCCGTCACTCTGTTTCGACGTGAAAGAAGGAAAAACAAACAAACAAACAAAGAAACAAGCAAACAAACAAACACACTTTGACGTTTATAATATTAAGTAACAAGGTGGGAAGTACGGATATATACTCTTAGTCACCTAGGGACGTATCCGAGCGAATCTAGGGTAAGTGTATATAAAAGTATTAGAAACGACTTAATAATATAATAATGTAACGCAAAAAATATTGCACTCGATAGTAGATATTTGCAAAATTTTCGGAGGCCAACTTTATTCTAGCGCATTTAAGTTAGCAACTGTTCTCAGTTATCTCTGTACTCAACTCAACTTATTTCAGTACGCAAAATGATTCCTGAAGGAAAATTATTATATTACTAGCGACTCACTCTCGCTTCGCTTCGCTTGGTACCATCACTAGGTACGTTTAAACGGTTAGTATGAATATAATATACCTACCTCTTGAATCACTAATTAAAATCCGTTACGTAGCTTAAAAGATCGGATTAGCGGGAGCCACTTTGTTTTATACTACGTATAGGTAAAGATAAAATATTTTAAGTATAATGAAGACATTACACTTAAAATATTTTATTATTACAGATTACAAAAAGTGAAAAGGCAGAAATTGTTATCATCTAGTCTCTTCTGCATAACGCGTAAGCTACATTTATTTTGTATTAAAAAAGTTGGTAAAAGAAAAAAAAAATTAAACGGTCCCTAAAACTCATTTACGCCGTTCAATAAAATACTAGCGGGTGAGCAATAAACAAAATTCATTATGGTTTGGAACGAAATAAAACCTAAAAATGCTATAAATAAAGCGTACAGAGTAAAGCCATAAACTTTTTAAATATCTTGGTCAGTATTTTCAATACCGACTAATCTATGGCATTTTTATTTTATTTTTAACATTACACTGACAATAAATTTCGAAAAATCGTTCCGGAGTGAATGTTTTTATGAAAACAGATTAAGTTTTGCTTTGTTCTTCAGTTACGTGTGCTATGAATGAGCTTTTTTATATTCTTAGCTATTTATAATTGAAAATTTGAAATGTGTATGATTGTCCTTTTTATAATTAAGAAAAATAATTATTAAATGATTTTGCTGACAATTTGGATCACTGCGGCAAATTTCATTGAGATTGTGAGTTAGTATAATGTGTGTATGCAGACTCAAGTGCACGCTATAGACCTTTTGCTCTCATCGTCCAGTAACACGACAATTCGATAAGACCAGGGAGAGAACATGTGCGAGTCAGATAGCTTACTATGAGGATCGAGGGAGAAACATCGCGATTGTTCCATCTCCGGGATGTTACTAACAATTTCTTTACAGAAAGGCCCAATAATATATACTTTGCTCGACCTACACTCATCGATCTATCAACTCCTCACAATCACTCCAGGACATCTTAATCTATGTATAATATGCTAGCCAGTTTTTCTTTTTTTTTAACCTTAGAAAACGCGTTTACGCATACTGCAAGCATACATACAGGTTATGTTGAGACTCACGGGCTAGAAAAGCCAGTACTATCTATTAAAACCATTCCGGTCCTTATCCGGTGTCACACGATCGCTAACGCCCTCAGCTACGATGCCCAGGTGGCTGGCTTGCCGAAGCAGACCACAACAACTAATGGAAACTACAAACAACTAAATGGAGTTGCCCCCACAGTTCAATCTCCTATGAGAGAAGGAATCCATGGTATACCAAGCACCGAGGTGAGTCGCCCAAGTGCGTATCTTGGTTTCACATCCAGCCAGATTGCCGAATGCCAATGGGCCCTCGACCACGACAAGGTGAATATAAATCGGGGGAGCATACCAACGAGGTCAAGTATACAACAACAAAGCGTATTAAGAGTGTTGTATTTTTTTACAAATAGATAGGTTCGCCTGAAGAGTGGTAGAGCCTGATAATGGTATATCAAGTTGTACCCATGGGATACTGATATACGCGCGAAGTAAAATAAGGGCCCAGGAAAACGTGGGTCGCGGGCATTCGAATAAATGACATATAGCTCAGTCATTTGCTAGTTTTACCTGGAAAGTTTTCTGAGAGTTTTGAAAATGATTTTATAGATTTCTATGTGATCTTTCTGAATTTTAATTTTGCCACCTCGTATATTTGCCGCTCGCGCCACCATATTGGAATAATGGCGTCAAGATCAATGATATTTTTGACAATATCTCCATTCCGACTAATTTTTCCAAATAAACACTTATATACAAAATTAAACTGGAGAAAATTTCCTACAATTTATGTTATAATATTTTTTTTTGTAAAATCAATAGTTTTGGCGTATGAGCACCGCAAAGTGTATGTGTTCAACATGCGTTTTCGCTAATGAGCTTAAAGCGAAAAATATAGAAATAGTAAAATAATTTAATTTCAAATAACGAATTAACAAATATTCAAAATAATAAAATTAAAATCTTTACAGTATTTCCAATTAGTTAAAAAATTTTTAACGTTTTTTCAAGACTTTTTATTTGAGTCGTACTAAAAACAATTTTTTGTCCATGAATTAGTGAGATAAAAACGAGAAAAGTCACGAAAAATGTGATATTTTATGTTTTTGAGCCATTATTTTGTGATAGAGTATGAAAAATTGTAAAAGTCATCATTTACCATTTGAGGTTGAACTTTAACCTCGAATAACTTTTAAACGACTCGACTAAGCAAAAAATTATATAAAACCTTTTTTGTAGATCGTTTAATTCCCTATAAGTAAGTATATGTTTTTAATTTGACTCGACAATAATTCGTTTAAGAATAATAAAAAAATGTCCCATGTTATTTATATGGAAAATCAAAAATCACGATGAGCCACCTCTTAATACTAATATTAAGAGCTCAAACTTTACCAGATTTTTTTTGTCATCTTGGCCGATATTTTCATGGTAACTAAAGAAAAACAAAGTTTTTTTTGGTCCACCCTATTATATATGTATATATTATATTACCTTATAGTTAATTTATAACTAATGTATATAGTATAAATAGGCAAAGACAAAACAGTCCAGTACCTTTTTCTCGTCTGTTTGTCAATAGATTTTCTTTTTTTTTTCGTTTAGTAGCTTTTGACGAGCTTTAGTGTTATGAATAGAAATAAATTAGACAGTTTTTATATACATAAGTAAATTCTATTCATATATGTTTTGAAAGAGAATACTAGTATTTATAAACTAAAACCAGAACCAAATATTACTGTAACTTTTTGTACATGTAAAAAACTAAATTATGATTCTAATGTAATATGTAAGTGTAAGAATTTTTACTAACTTTGACTTTAAAGGAGGCGATATTCAATTGGGTGGTATGTTTTGTGTATTTGTGTATGTTAGACGATTTTTAGCCAATTATTGTAAATTGATTTTTATATATTTTCCTAATGAATAAAGGGTAGTTACACCTCAAGGGTAGTTTCATACAAAATAAAAAAATAAAGAGTGATTTATCTTTGTAGTTGAAAAGTAATTATTTATTGGTTAAAGTAGTGGTAGCCCAGTGGTAACGCGCTCGCTTGGGAAAAGTAGTGAAAGAAGTTCAAATCCCGGGTCACACACCTTTGATATTTTCATGTGTTTCGGTGAAGGAAAACATCGTGAGAAAGCTTGTACATCTGAAAGAACCTAGCAAGTTTTCGCAACACATGTGAAGTCCGTCATACCGTACTTGGCCAGAGTTGTGAACTATAACCTGATATCGTACAGGAGGGTATGGTGCCAACAGTGGGACGTTAAAAATGGCTAAAATATAATCATTTTTACTGATTACATTACAATAATAACTTTTTATTAGATAATTCCACTACGAATTCTTAGCAAGTTAAATGTATTGTTTACGCTTAAAAGAGATTATTTCAATCCAATTAGTATAATCTATCTAAATCTAGGTATGATTGCAATAAAGGATTTTATATTCAAAATAAATTATTTTAGAATTTATATATTATATCTATGAAACTTAACATATATCTAAACTAAAATAATATAAAGAGTTTGTTTGTTTGAATATTAAAATTTAAATATCAATATGATAAAGCACCATGTATGTATGTATGTATTTTACATATGTCTAATTATTTTTTATTTTATTTCTTTAGGCACGTAACGAAAAGAAGATAATATTTAAAGAATTACAACTATTTAAATCAGAATATTTTAGCTTATCACTATTAACTTTATTAAGGTTATAATATCCTTACAATGAAAACTTTAGAAATGTTTGTATGAATTGACTTTATTTATTTGTTCACAGGTCAAATATGCACCTAAAGTGAAGATTCGAATTAAAAACGGAAGACGAATACCAGAGGGACGTGACGTTATAATAAGTAAGTTCTTATATTATTTATTTACGTTTAAACGGTTTTTCAGAGAAGATTTAAGATATATTTTTTCTTAAGTTGATCATTATTTTAGCTTATATCTAACTGGTACTGAACTATGGGTTAGATAGTAGGTTCTATATTTTTTTTAGATAAAGTTTGTTTGTTGGTAGGTATTTTTATGCAGGGTAAAAATTCAGGAAAAACAAAAAATCAATTAATCATTAGGGTCTATACCGTCTAAATTAGATAGGTTATTTTTTATCGACAACACAAGCGTATTCGCGAGCGAAACGTAGTTAATACTATACACGTGTTAATGATAAAGTGTTTTATTTATCCTACAAAATAAATAAGTGAAAATGGGACAATTAAAACTTTAATGAGACTTCTGTCACCTGTTACAGTTTTTCAACATTTTCACAGATTCACAAAATGAAATTTTATTTCTGCAAGTTAAGTTTCCAACTTATAAGTAAGGGTTGGTTATAATGGGAAAAATGTCAGGGGAAAATCAGCATTTCTAGAAATAAATTATATAACGTTATAGCTGTCAACTAGCAGCGTAAAAGTTTCTATTCTATAATATTATTCTTATTTCCCCAACACGCTGTAGTGACAATATCATATATATCTACATAGATAAATAAAATTGAATTGTCTGTTTATAATGTCAATATAACAGCTCTTTACTAAATACATGTCAAAGTATGTATGTTAGTTATAATAAAAAAACTATTTTAATTTTTTTTGTCTGTCTGTCTATCTGTCTGTCTGTTTATTCCGGCTAATCTCCGAAACGCCTGGACGGATTTTGAGACTTTCACTAGCAGGTAGTTGATGTTATAAGGTGTAACTCAGGCTACTTTCATTTAAGAAAAAGGTTTAGGGTTCCGCACAATAAAATTAAAACACATGAAAATGCGAACAAAATCCGCATACCTAGGGACGTACCCGAGCAAAGTGAGGGTAAGTCGCTAGTATTTTAATACAAAGGAATATATATAGATTTATTATTTTTGAATATAATAGGTACTTAAATATATTTTACCTCAGCTAAGAACATAACTCGGGACCTTCTGTAAAATATAAAATTTAAGCCAACACAAACAGTCAACGGTAAAAATACGATATTTTCACAGGTTGCACGGCGGATGCAAATCCAAGTAATCTCACTTTCAGATGGCTTATGAATGAATCAACTATTGGGAATACCTCTGAATTGGTAAGTGTTTTGTAAATTGTTATTGAAAACTCGTAAAAATTTGAAGTCACTCAATTATTATAGTTGAATATAGTTACTTTATCCATTCGTTTTATGTTTCGTTTATTTTTCTTGTTTTTAAATTTGATGGAGCTCGGTCTAGCTATGAAAATTTGCTTTAAAAATTTAATATACTACAACAAAATTAGATAATTAAGATTTACATATATTTTTAGCACTAAGTTCCTTACATAGTACATGTAAAATTTTTAAACAAAATTAAATTTTATATAGAAAATTATGAACGTTTCCCGCTCTTACAACGGGGCCGTTTTAAAATGCATGGTGTTCAACGAAGTTGGCAAAAGCGAAGAAACTGAGACCCTCGAGATTACTTGTGAGTATTACTTTGCAATATTCTCGTGTAATTTAGACAATACCGTGACTTGGCCAAGTTTTAGAGGATAAAATAAAATTTTAAGAAATTCCGTTGAACGTCGCCTTTTAGTTTTCGTTTGGGTTTTATTATATTTGTTGAATCAATGTCGTGGAATTTGGTCATAAATAAAATTGGTATGGTGAAACATTGGTAACGAAAAAGGTATACTGAGAGTTAGATAGAGCTTAATAGTAATATAATACAAAAACACTAATTCCCCAGTGGTAAGCTACTAGCTTGATAAACCAAGTAAAGCGGGTTCAAATCCCGGGTCTCGCATCTCTGATATTTTCATGTACGAATCATTTATATTTATATTCGCTTTAAATATAAATAATTAAATTAAAATAAAACAAATATTTAAAGGGGGCTTCCATACAACAAACATGATTTTTTTGACGTTTTTATAGATAATGGTACGGAATCCTTCGTGCGCGAGTCCGAATCCCACTTGCCAGGTTAATTGTATTTAAATTGTAATAAAATTAATAATTATATATTAGGGTTTTATTAAAGTTAAATGTATACTTTTGATTATGTAATTATAGCAAATGTTATATAAACTTGTAAAGAAACATTAAAATAATTATTATTGTCTTCTAAATGTATATAAATGTTGTAATATGTGTATTTTTAGTGTACTTTTCTAAAAAAAAGTCCATATAGACCAGAGATCATGATTGTTAGATATTTGATAGAAAACGAAATGATGTCAACAAAATATCTTTTTTATATTGTTAACGGGAAATTTCTTCCACGAACGACCTAATCGATTATACTAAAATATGTTTCGCAAAATATGATTTTAGTTCCGATAAGTCTATTAGAAAAACCCATTAGTAATATTAAATAAGTAGGTATGGAATATGACATGGTCACAATTTTTATTATACATTTAGTTATTTTTTGTGTGTAGCACGATCTTTTGTGATATTTTTACGAATGTATATCTATTTTTTATGCCTTTCCTTAGAAATCGTTTATGGGGAGACATCTTACTTATAATATTATTAACTAGCGACGGCCCCTCGCTTCGATCGGGTTCGTACCTACTTCTTCCTCCTCGTACTCCTCGTACCTACTTTTCCGCAATGCAGTAACAGACAGACAGACAGACAGACAGACAGACAGACAAAAATTCTAAGAACTATAGATTCGGCTTCTTTATCGATAATAATGTTTATTTCCATAAGATTTTTCAATTAATATTTAATGTCCAGATTCGGCTTCGATACAATTTTATTTTGTGTTAATGTGACAGTATAGATGTTTGGATGGATGTTTGTTACTTAATCACGCCAGAACAGGTGAACGGATTTCGATGAAATTTGGGTCAAATATATATTAGTCTGGAATAGCACATAGGCTACTTTTTATCCCGAAAAAATGTACGGTTCCCGTGGGATAGATTTATTTTTGTTTTTCCTAGCCGCTAGGTAAATAAATAAGTTAGTAAATATTGTAATGCTAATTGATAATTACTTTTTGAAAAGCATCTTAGATAAACCATTACATTCTTTATATTTCCTTAGTACTTACCTTTTATTACATAATGTTTCTCGTTTCTACGCAAAAAAGATTGTCAAAATATTTCCTTTTATAGTCTGAGAGATATTTTTGTTGCCTGTGTCGGTGGTTACTGGTTCGATTTCTTATATAAAAAATGTTTAGATGTAATTCGGTATAATAAAACAGTCAGATATACATACATATTATAATCTTTCAATCATATTTATGTAGAAGTGTTAAAATTATATTATATGTATCTACTATATAATAACTTCGTAATATCTATATATGAAGGTAATTATATATATAATTAGAAATCTTAAAGAGTAAGATTCAATTCGATTCTCTTTTAAAGTATACAACTTAGTCTAGACAAATAAGACACCATCTGTTAACGCTAACAATCTTATCACTACAAAACATCTTTTACTAACATTATGCACTATGAAGGTCATACGTTCGTTTCCCACGTGGTTAAAGTTAACTGAAGATTACTTTGTTTATGTTTACGTTTTAACCCCACAACATTACAACAGATGGCTCCAAAAAATTTCATATATTTGCATGGCATGGTAATGAAAGGGCAATGATTATTTTATCCCGGTATCTAGGGGATCCCGTGGGATAAAACTATAAGCAAATAATAATATAGATATTAAAATTTTCACGTATTCGTTTGTACCTTTTTTAACCTCTCACTGCTGGTCACGGACCTCCCATACGAGGAAGATCAGACCATAGACTTTAAAGATCTTTCGAAAGCTTGCTAAATTCTCTCAGACATGTTTTCCTTCACCTTAAATTATAATCACGTTGAAAATGATTCGCAATGAGAATATAAGAGGTCCGAAGCCCGAGATTTGAACCCGCCTCACCTTGTTTCCCAAGCTAGCGCGTTACGACTGGGCTACCACTGCCTTTGTGTATGTGTATTCGTTTAGATATTAGTGACTTCAAAAAGAGAAGAGATTGTAAAGTATGATGTGTACTTTTATTTTATTTTTTGTATGTTATGAGTTATACTATATCTTGTGAACCCCCTTTTTATGTTTATCTATATTAATATTATAAAGAGGTAATCTCTGGATCTACTAAAACGATTTAGATGAAATTTGGTAAGGAGATAGTTTGAGACCCTGGATACTTTTTATCCTGGAATTCATCCTTTATGAAATGGGGATGAAAGTTTGTATGGGAAATCATTTCAATCTATCATTTCATATCAATATGATTGCATTATATGTCACAGAAATAGATTATTTACCAATCTATATAATAGTACATTATTTATTTTAAATTAAGTATAAATTTTATTTAAAACATAATAATATCATAACTAATAATAAAATTTATCTAAAAATAAATAAAATCCGTAGATCCGCCATCATTTCGCTACTTGCCAGTGGACGTTGAAGCAGAAGTAGGCAAACAAGTTACTTTGAGTTGCGATGTAGACGGCTATCCTGCTCCTGAAATACGGTGGCTGCATTATGAAGAAGACACTAATATTGTAAGTACAGTTTCTTTATCCTGTTCTAATTACTTTTTAACAACTATTTATTGTGACTTAACTGTAAGGTATACTCTTTTTTTTCGAATAAAAAAATAATTAGAAAGATTTACATTTTGTTTTAATATTCAATTCAGTTCAGTTCAATGTCATTCAATTCAATTCTTTTATTCAATGGCCGCCAGGAGTATCATTTGGGTACAATTTACTTAGCCAACATATATAATGTCACTTTGAACTTGACCAAGTCGCAAGTTTTTCTAATCTTTACACTTCGTTAAATGTCTTAGAAGTAAAAGGTTAGATTTCCAAGAATTCCTTCTTAGCGCACCTTTACGTATCAAAGCTAGATAAATCTGTATAATCGTTTATTATTATTTTGTATATTTTAATTAAATTTCTTATATTATGTTAGTTACGTTAAAGATTGAGTGTCATATCTAAAATGAATTTATTTTAAATATGTTTTATTATTTTCTGGATAGATTTTCAGATTTGTATATAAAAATGTTTGTATGTGTTTGTTTGTTACCATTTTATGCTGAAACGGCTGGACGGATCTAGATAAAATTTAGTATACATACATCTATACATATGTATAATAAAATTGTAACTAAGCTGAATCTGTACATTAAATATTTTTTGAAAAATCTTATTGAAATAGACATGATGAATAGGATACTTTTTACTGCGGGAAGATATCTCATCTCTGAGAAATCTATACTAAAAGTGTAAGCGTAAGTAGGGACGAACCCGAGCGAAGCGAGGGTGGGTCGCTAGTATAGAATATAACCGGGAGTAACACATATAGGCTAGTCTTAGTTATCCTTAGGGACGCACCCGAGTGAAGCCAGAAGAGTAGTTGCTAGTGAATTATAAAACAAAAATGAACAAACTTTTTCTGTCAACTTTAATATTCTTGTGGCGCAATATATTCAGACTCAAATTTTATTTTTTCCTTCATTTCCACACAATAATTTATCATCTTGAACTAAATCCTTTCTTGTCACATCTCGTAATAGCATTTTTGTTTTCCATTGTTCTTACATTCTAACAAAATTAAGAAAAGTATCAAGAGAGCTAATAATATATATTTGTTTTTTTTTTGTACTTTAAATATTAATTTTAATTCCACTTTAATTAGAAATGGCAACTTAAAAATCTTGATATATTGTTTACATTTAAAAGGAAATTCTTTTAAATGAAGCGTATTTTTGTGATACGATATTTCATCATGAGGACATAATTTAAAGAGTTTTAAAATTATTAAAATTTTACATAATAATTACTCTACGACTTATAAAAAATATACAATTTATAAAGCCTTAAGTAATAGGTTGATACTTGTGGATTTGATACCTAGACCAAGTATTAGACTAGTAAGCTTTAGCTTAATATTTTAATATTCATCACATTGTAGTTATTTAATAAACTATGTTTTAGTTGTTTAGTTAATTAAAATCATTTCCAGTTTTCTCGTAGTGTACTTTAGATTTTTTGTTCCCCACATTTCGAATGCTTTGCAGCAACGGTTTTTGACGTATCAAAAGTAATACAATGATTTGGAAGAAAAAGAGGCACGTTTCTTCTCTATTCTACGTGACGCCTTTGCTTAATTGGCACGCTTTAAAAAAATGAAGAAAAATGACACTTTTTTTGGTTGTACTTTACAATACTGTTAATTTAGAAGGTTTTTTATAATTTGGTTTTGGGTCTAAAAAGACATTTATAATAAAATTCTAATTAAGCCAAATCTGTACCTTAGATATTTTTTGGAAAATCTTATTGAAATAAACATTATTATCGATACAGAGGCCGAATCTATAGTTTTTAGAATTTTTGTCTGTTTGTCTCTCTGTCTGTCTGTTACCGTATCACAGAAAAACCACTGGAAGGATTTGATGAAATTTGGTATGATGATAGCTGGTTATCCGGGACAACATATAGGGTATTTTTTACCGCGGTAAAATATCTAATTTTTGAGAAAAAATACAAAAACTGCAATGTAAGAGTATATACTAATACCTATGTAAAACCTAAGAATTTGGTTTTAGGTCATCTGAACGCGGGCGAAGTCGCGGGCAATACTAGTTAAGAATATAATTTTAAATATGAGCTCCTAATATTATAATTCTTATTTTTTTTTTGTAGTTTGATTGAATTCCTTTTAAGGGTTGCTACATTAATAAATTTGAAATAATAATTCAATTTGGTTTCAAACATTCGCTTAAATATAAGAAAGTATCGCTTAGTTTCGATATAATTAATAATTAATCCATCTTTTAATTGTTTCAACTTCTATAGAAAGATGTTCGACTCAAATAAACTTTTTTCGAGTAACTCAGAAGACAATACCATTTTCTAAATTAAATTAAATAAACTTTTATTAATAACTGTTTTAAAACGTTTTAAAAACGTGGTTTTCCTTTGTTTATATTGTAAGCTAGCGGCTCACCCTTACTTCGCTCAGTTTTGCCTCTAGAAAAACAAAAACAAATCTATACCACGGGAACTATACATTTTTCCGGGATAAAAAGTAATCTATGTGCTATTATGATGTATGAGCTATATTATTGTAAAGTTTCATTAAAATCCATTCAGTAGTTTTTGCGTGAAAGACTAACAAACATACATCCATTCATCCATACATACATTCTTACAAACTATCGCGTTTATAATATTAGTAGGATTAAAAGCTACTACGACAACTATATACATACGAAACATACATGTGTGTATGTATGTTACTCTTTCATGGTCAAACGACTGGACGGATTTTGATGAAATTTGGCACACGGATAGACTATGACTTGGAGCAATATATAACCTATGTACTGTAATTAGTTAGGAATAAACCTGAGCGAAGCGAGAGTAAGTCGCTAGTCTATACTTAATATTATAAGGAGGTTTGAGTTTGTTTGTTTGTTTAAACGCACTAATCTCAGGAACTACTAATCCAATTTGAAATATTCTTCTTGCACTAGATGGCCCGTTTATTTTCACACTAACCGTTAAAACGTACCTAGGGACAAATTGGATCGAAGCAAGGGTGAACTGCTAGTAAATAATAAAATATGATCACTGAAAATTTTAATAAAATATTTAAAAAGTTATAAGAACTAAGTATAAAATATAGAAAGTGTAAAGAAATAAACACGCTCTATTACAAGTCTTGACATTTCATTTGAAACCTTTCTGCTAGCCTAAAACTAATTTCTAAGACATAGAATTATAAAAGCCTTTCAAAAATATATTTTGCGTTTTTCTTTTTTTTAGTACATACTTATATAATAACAAACTAAAGTTTTAGTGGTAAAAGTTTTTTAAAAGTATTGTATCAGGGGCAAGTTTGTACATAATGTATTTTTCATACAATAATTTAAGAAAAGGTTACGTAAAATCATTTAAAGATTGATATAGTGTTTTTTATTCATGGATACTACGACTTCTAAATCATTATTATATACAACTAGCGACTCACCCTCGCTTCGCTCGGGTTCGTCCCTAGGTTCATTCCCCATACAAAATTCCATCCCCATTTTCATCCCCTTAAAGGATGATTTCCAGGATAAAAAATCCTATGTCCTTCCCAGGGTCTCAAACTATCTTCTTACCAAGTTTCATCCAAATCAGTTTAGTAAATCCAGAGATTACCCCTTACAACGTCACAAACTCACAATTCACAAATTTTACCTCTTTATTATATTAGTATAGATAAAGTAATTTACAGTATTAAAATCAGGCAAAAATCACATTATTCAACTTGTTTTTGCTATGTTATATTATTATTTTATAAGTTAAACAATTTAGAAATAATTCAAAGGTCTTTTTTGTTTTACTAGATTTATGTTGCCAGTAAACTAAATTAATGTCTGAAATGAAATCACAATAGAGATTCCAACAGAACTTATTAACTTTAGTTAGAAAATTTAATATTATATTTTATGAACTAGCAATTATTTCTTGTGACTTAAACTATTTTCTAATTTTCTTGATTATAAAGCCTTCGTCGAATTTTGAAAACTTTCCCAAATTTTCAAAATCCCAAATTTTTAGATTAGTCTAGTATGAAATATAATTAACTAGCATAACATTCGGCTTCGCCCGCGTTTAAACTGCGAATAAGACACTTTTTCGCAATACACACTTTATTTCACCCCCAATTTTACCCTTTTAGGGGTTGAATTTTAGAAAACGCTGAAATACGTAACTCTTTATTTTCGCCGTACTCAATTCATACGTTTCATGCAAATATGTCCAAGGAATAAGAAGTTTCATACAAACTTTTATCCCCTATTTCACCTCCTTGGGGGTTGAATTTTGAAATATCCTTCCCAGTTTGACCTGTGCGTTGATACATCAGTCAATCACTTTTGCCTCTTATATACTCGTATATAGACTAGCAACTCACCCTCACTTCGCCTCGGGTCATCCCTAGGTTGATTCCCCATTCAAACTTTCATCTCCATTTGCACCGCCTTAAGGGATGATTTCTGGGATAAAAAGTATCCTATGTCCTTCCCAGGATCTTAAAATATCTTCTTACCAAATTTCATCTAAATCGGTTCAGTAGGTCCTGAGATTACCCCCTACAACGTCACAAATTCACAAACTCACAAACTTTACCTCTTTATAATATTAGTATAGATAAATAAGTAAAACACAAATTTTACTATAAAAATCTTATTTTACCGACCAATCTCGTGTCTTCGTCATTGTACGTGACATTGGCGAAGTATTCTGTGCTCCACTGGAATGTTTTGAGGCCTTTAACAAGAAATTTGGATTGAATTCAATTCATGCTATCCATATATAAAAAGAACTTTAATAGCTAATTTAACACGATCATTAACATTTACTTATAACCTTATCAAGATCTAGCTTTGCTAGTTTAAAAAAGAACTCGTATTTGTATTTATATTTCGTTATTATAGTTATATAATAAATTACCAACAGATATAAAGGAATCAAAAACAATTACAACATTTAAAAAAATGCTAAAATATTAGGTATATCTTAAAAAACTTAAAGTAAAATGTAGTCTTTGCCATTTCCATGATTTCCTTATTCTTAGCGCTTTGCTCTAACTGTATTGTTAACTTGTTTGTAGTTTTAAGTATTATTTTTAAGGATTATATATACTATGTATTTCTCGCATTTAGTGAATGTTATAATGTTTAATGTGTTTTCTCATGTAAGTGAATTTGTTATTCTTAATGAGAAATAAAGATTCTAAACAGGTATTTTAGCGAATAAAACCTATTTTTGTAGCAAAATATTGTATATATATATATATATATATATATATATATATATATAAACAAAATATTCCAAGTTCAATTAAACCATTAAGAACCCTACCCACAAGGGTTCAATAAACCTTTAAATGTGGTCCTGTAGGCTTAACGGCTTTTTTCACACTTTGTTCTGTACATACCGCCAACCCAACTCCAGGCTGCTATTGATTATTTCTTGGACAAAAGAGACCAATAAGACCCAACGCAGGACTTGAACCTTAGACCTTAAAATCCAGCCATACACTAGGAAAAACCAATTGCAAACAAACAAATCAAAGTTATTATAAAAATAAACCACATGTGTTAGTAAATTTTAGCTACAACATATTAATAAGTTTTTTTTTACAGCGTGTCGGAAGGACGCCGAATTTGACGTTAACGGTGGACACTCATACTACAGGTCGTTATTTATGCAAAGCCAGCGTTGAAGGCTATCCAGAGATTGAGGCGGAAGCATCTATTTTTATTAAAGGTACTAACTTTTATAATTCATAATTAATAACAGATTTAGTTGAGTTGAATTTTACTATCGTGTCATATAAACATGTAATATTTGTGATTATTTAGACCTTTTTATGTCCCACAGTTAAGTAAAGGCCTATTTATTTGAGTAACATTAGGTCGTAGTCCACTAAGCTGGCTAAATGCAGATTGATGGACTACACGAGTCCTTATAAAACTAGGCAAATTCTCTCAGACATGCAGATTTTCTCACGTATTACCAAATGACAATTATAAATATAAATATGTTGGGACATTAACACACAGCACCATCTAGTTCCATGGTAAGCTACGAGGCTTGTGTTAAAGATACCAGACAGTTGATACACTACATATATATAACTAATAAATGATAATTAAATACATACATATTATAAATATAAACACCCATGACTGGAGTACAAACATTCGTGCTCATCACACAAATGAATGCCCCCAGCGGGACTCGAACCCGCAACCGCTAGCACAGTAAGTAGGGTCACTACAAACTAAGCCAAACATGTCGTCGTATTAAAATTATATATAAATATCATCAGTAATATAAAACTCAGGAATCAAACCCACTTTTTTCGTTTCCAAAGCGAGAAAAAATTGAAATACACATTACACAATCATAAGAATTCAATGTTTTTTTTTTTATTGAGTTTCTACACTTTTATTTTTAGAGAACTAAATACACGTCAATTTAAATCTTTATGAACAATTTCTTTATAGTTGCCTTTATTCAAAACGGGCATTTTAATGAAACGGATATAACTATCTTTTACAAAATATCTATACATATAATAAAATTCTAATTTAAGTCGAATCTAAACATTAAATGTTTTGTCTGTCTATCTGTCTATCTGACTCTGTCTGGGAATGCATCACGAGAAAACCACGGGACAGATTTTGATGAACATCAACATATAGGGTATTTTTTACTGCAGGAAAGTATCTAATTTATGAGAAATCTATACCAAACCTTAAACCGTATCTAGGGACAAACCCGAGCGGAGCGAGGGTGAGTCGCTAGTCTTCAATAGATACTAAATTTGCCTATATCATTCGTATAGCACAAACACGCGTTATTCGCATACAATTTAAAGAAACGGTATCTAGAACGAAGCAAGTCATTAATTAAACGCATTCAAGCATAACAAAGCTTTTCCTCGAAAATACTAAAATGGCAAAAAGAAAATCTTTTATCGAAATAAAAGGAATTCCGACCTTGACTTACTTTCTTAAACATATATCAAATTACAATTTTAGTTTTTACTTTCAAGGATTTTTTGTATATGTTATAATAATAAAATATGTGACTTTTTTTAAATAAAAGTATCTTTTCGGAGTTTTTCGCGGAATTATTCAGCAATCATGGCCATAGTCAGTAAGGCAGTGGTAGCCCAGTGGTAACGTGCTCGCTTGGTAAACCTAGTGAAGCGGGTTCAAATCCCGGTCTTCGCACCTCTGATATTTTCATGTGCGAATCATTTCTAACACCAATTGCTTTACGGTCAAGGAAAACATCGTGAGGAAACCTGCATGTCTGAGAAAACCTAGCAAGTTTTCGAAAGACATGTGAAGTCCACCAACCCGCACTTGGCCAGCGTGGTGGACTATGGCCTGATCCCCCTCGTATTGAAGGGAGGCCCGTGCCCAGCAGTGGGTCGTTAAAAAGGGCTGAATACATGACCACAGGAGAGACCTTCTCGTCTTAGGATAGGCTCTCTCGTTACCATGATGGCTGTAAAGGTTTCGAAACGTTGGAAACCGGAAATGAAAATAAACCCGCGAAAAAATCCGAACTTTAATATAAAATCATGAATTCATTCCTGCACATTTTTTTTTTAATAAATACAAATACCATAGAAAGTAGACATAGTTGTTGCCTTGTAGGAAACTCAGCTAAAATTAAAGCTTTATACAATATTTCAAAGCGATACAGAAGTTTTAAATTAATACTATTAAGTCGATGCCGGCGCTTATTTATTGCAGACCGACATTTTAAAGAAATGAATGTTTCTATATTTATTGTAATGATAATTTTATTCATACTGATATATATTGAATTTTTAATTTGTTTTGAAATGAAAATTTAATTATTAAACGTTATAGACTACTAAAGTGTATCTGTTATGATAAGGTACTAATAAACGATTCGTTCTAAGTAATTAGGTTTGAGAGAAAATTTTACGACTGGCATTAAAAAGTAAATGAAATCTTGCTTGTCTCATTTAATTAAGTAATACGTAGTATTAAATAAAAAACAGATTGCAAATATTTTGTTAAAATATGCACGAAATTATAATAAACCTACTATACTAACCGTTAAAACATAAAGCGAAGCGAGAGTGAGCCGCTAGTTTCAAATAAAACTATAAAAACCATGTACTTAGTAAAAAAATTAATCACTCGCTCGGGCTCGGGCCTCCCTTTAATACGAGGGGGATCAGGCCATAGTCCACCACGCTGGCCAAGTGCGGGTTGGCGGACTTCACATGTCTTTCGAAAACTTGCTAGATTCTCTCAGACATGCAGGTTTCCTCACGATGTTTTCCTTCGCCGTAAGACAAGTGGTAATCATTTATTAGAAATGATTTGCACATGAAAATATCAGAGGTGCGAGACCCGGAATTTGAACCCGCTTCACTCGGTTTCTCAAGTGAGCGCGTTACCACTGGGCTACCACTGCCTTAATCACTCAACTAACTAAATTTTACACAAAACACCTTTCTATAACTAAAGTTTAGGTTCATCCCCTATTCATCCCCTGAAGGGGTTAAATAGGGCATGAATATTTGTATGTAAGTTCGTCATTTTGAAGTTGGGAAATCCCATCGGATTTAATAAATTACTACATAATTTTACAAATTATATTACTACATTATTTTCACAAAGGTAACTTTATTTGCTAATTAACAATTATGCACTCGTATTCATTTTAAAAGAATGCGGGTTTCCTCGTACGATAACGAAGGATATATATTTTGTATTGATACCTGTCTAAAATATTTTATATATATTTTTAAACAAAAGTTATTATACTTATAGTAAACAAATATTGAATAGATAGAAGTGTATATTTGTAATATCAAAATAATAGCTTTGTACTACATGCATAAGAAAAACACTTGTTTTTAAATGTCTGTATGTTTGTCTGTCTATCTGTCTGTCTGTCTGTTTGTCTTTGTTCCGTCTAATCTCCAAAACGACTGGGCCGATTTTGACGTGGCTTTCACTGGCAGGTCGTTGATGTTATAAGGAGTAACTTAGGCTACTTTTATTTCTTACTTATATAGGGACGAACGAGAGCGAAGCGAATGTGAGTCGCTAGTTTTTTAATATTGTAAAATTGTTTTAGGTCCACCAAAAATAATCTCCAACCACACGCAATTTGGTTCTCAAGGTGATACTGTAAATATTGAATGTGCTGCTTTCTCAGTTCCCAGAATTGATAATATTGTTTGGACCTTTGAAGGGAAGGAAATCGATACTGTTCACGATCAAGTAAGTTATACAAATACGTACTAAGCGTACAATTTATATATACATAGTCCAATTAATTAATATATAATTATTAAATGATAAATTCATCCAACTATTTAACGAATTAATTGTTAATTGATTGATTCATCCAACTATTCAACGAATGTTAATATAAAGTTATGTTTTTGTTTGATATTATAATGACGTTTAGTTTATAGCTAGTTTTGCTGTGGACATGATATCAATAAATTTGCATATTTTAGACCATAATCAGTATTGTTACATTTATAATTGTGATTATCATGGCTTAATTGTTAGTACTTAGTGCGATTCTCATAATTTTATTAATATAATGTTGTTTTAGCTTATAGTAATGAATTTTATGTAACCTTTTAAATCAAAATAAAACCGTCATACAAGCCCAATTATCTTAAAATGGGGAAATGTTCCTCATACAATCCTATAGCCTTACATAAGCAAGTAGATACTTTATATCTTTAAAAAAATATTTGTTTCAGGATTATGCCTTCTTAGAAGAATTACAACCGGGTGGAATTGTGAATTCCACTTTGATTATACGGGAAAGTCAATCAAAACACTTTGGCTCTTACAAGTGCAACGTCTCGAATGAATACGGTAGTGATACTATCGAGATCGTTCTGAAGCCTAATAGTGAGTATGAAATGTATTGGGTTTTTGTATTTTGTACATTTTTTATTATTGGGGGGATGGGTTAATTAGCGTCCGGCAATCTAGCCGGGCGTGAAGCCAAGTAATACATTGTGAGGTGGCCCACTTCGGTGGGCGATCCTGCGACACTCTATTAAGTCGGTGGAAAGTCTGTTGTGTTTTAAGGAGTATTACTGGCTTCTCTTAAGCCGTTGAGTCCCACATAGACACCTGTTATACGTATACAGGTATACAGGTGGTATGCGTAAATGCATTTCCTATATATGTTAGAAGCAAACGTTTAAATCGCAGCGCAGTTATTTTACGTAGCCTATTTCAGAAGGAGGGCGATGTTAAATTCCACATATTTTTACTTAACCCAAGTGTTTAAAGATCACTCTCTTTTTATCAACCCCACAATAAAATTATATGAAAATATAAAAACTAACACCCATTATTTTTAATAATATCATATTATTAGTATAACTTGTGTTTTTATTTAATTAATCTATACATATAATAAATTCTAAGTATGTCGAATCTGCACACTAAATATTTTTTTTGGAAAATCGATATCTATGTATATCATTTGAATTATCGATATAGAGGCCGAATCTATGGTTTTTAGAATTTTTATCTGTCTGTCTGTCTGGAAATGCATAACGAGAAAACCACTGGATAGATTTTGATAAAGTTTGGTATGATGATAGGGTTATCCGGGTCAACATATAGGTATAATTTTATATAAACATCTCTCTCGTAAACGTGAAAACGTAACTCGACGAACGAACCCAAGCGGAGCGAGGGCGATTCGCTAGTTTGTATAATTTAAAGAACTTTGTTTATGTTATTGTAATAAAAATATGTTTTAACAATTTTCTATTTGATTTAAAGTAATTAACATTGTTCTACATTGAATGGCATAATTTTCGTAGAGCAATATGAGTTCATATTTTTCATTGCTAGTTTTTGTTTAATTTTTCAATAACATACTGTTATGAAACAATAACTTTAATAATGGAATACGAATCAATAGACTATGATCCTAGAACGAATACATGTGAATAAATTATAATATTAATGTCATTGGGTTAAACGAGTAAGTGTAAGGCTCGTCGCAGACTGGAGACTTTCCTTCAGGTGATATATTGTGTTCTTATTCAAGATATAGTTTAACAAAATCGTCATAATATATGCTTTTACGTACTAGTTTTAATCCCTCCACGACATCGGATATGCCGGCGTGTCAGTTAATAATATATTTCTTAGAATTTTAATTAATTTCAAATGCATTTACGCCTACCACCTGCATACACATACAGACAGATAGATAGATAGATAGATAGATAGATAGATAGATGCTTTATTGTACACCACAAATAAATATACAAAAAGAAGATATAAACAATAGATGATGCACAGCAGGCGGTTATGTGGGACTCACCGGCTAGAAAGCCAGTACTACCAACTAAAACCCAACAGAACCTTCACTGTCTTAATGGGACGCCGCACAATCTGGAGGACTGTAACGCTATAGGTTATATTAAAAATATAGATAAAAAATCATTAGTGTTATGGCGGTTCATTCCATATATATAAAAACTCAAGATACACAATGACCGTCTCAAAAGTGTCCTCAAAAAGAAGGGCAAAATGCGTGATTTAAAACGTAGATTATTTAATTTAAAAAGTATTTAATATGTTCTGTGTAAATTTGAATTTATGTTTCAACTCTTACACAATTAGGACTTTCGATTTTTGAATTTTATTGTTGGGTTTGATTTAACTTCGACGCTACTTTTTGAAGAGATATTTGTTAAGAAATGTGTTTCTATGTTTCTGTATACAATGAGACGGTTACGTTGTTATAAAATAGAATCAATGGACGAAGACGTGCTGCATGCCTATTTCTTAATTAATTAGAAGAATGAAAACCGTTTTTATTATGCGTATTATTCTCAAATGCAGGCTCAATATTTTTAAAAAATAGTTTAATTATTATAAAATACTAAAACCAATAAAAAGGCAGTGATAGCCCAGTGGTAACGCGCTCGCTTGGGAAACCGAGTAATGCGGGTTCAAATCCCGGGTCTCGCACCTCTGATATTTTCATGTGCGAATCATTTCTAGCATGATTACCACTTGCCTTACGGTGAAGGAAAACATCGTGAGGAAACCTGCATGTCTGAGAAAACTTAACAAGTTTTCAAAAGACATGTGAAGTCCGCCAACCCGCACTTGGTCAGCGTGGTGGACTATGGCCTGATCCCCCTCGTATTGAAGGGAGGCCCGTACCCAGCAGTGGGACGTTAAAAAGGGCTGAATACATACTAAAACCAATCCAATATTGGGTCTCGTTTATATTCGAACATTGAAGTGTCCACTATGTAGATATTGCTTTTCTCTGTCCAATTTTGCATACCGCCACCTGTCATAATAGCCAAATGTCAATTTAGGTTGCATTAGTCATACTGGTTATATGAGAAGAAATATTTATAAATTGTTTTGATATTATATTATATTCTGTTTTTAATATTTTTTTTATAAATATAGAAGACGGTAAAGTAATCTGCCACTTATATTATAACGTAAATAAATTAATCTGTATGAATTATTAAGAAATTCGCAGAAAATCGAAAATAGAAATAACGTGCGTACAAATAAGTCCTGATTTGTTCGAAAATTACTTTTTCTCATATTAATTTTAAAGATTTCCATTTAGAATTCAAACGAAATATTTTCCTTTTGAGAACTTTTTCAATCCGGCCGCGAAGATTTAAGTTGAATGTTTGAAAATCAGAATGTATTTTAGTTTTAAAATCTAAACTTTATGCCACGTTTGTGCATTACCCTCGGGGAAACCCGAGACATCTTCTTATTCTCCCATTGTATAAGTTTTATTGCACTCAGATAAAAATCTTTCATTTTATTCTTAAGGACTCTTGCATTTAAAATATTCCTTTGAATTTCCAGCCCTAGTTATTTGAGCAACTAAAAAACATATTATTTGCTTGTGTTTAAACTATGGTTACAGAAGAATGTACAATATCCATATAAAGTCGTCACAGTACAGTCGCTTATATCATCTATATAAATACTTTCTAATTTATCACACAATCATTTAAATATATTCGAGCTCTTTACCTTTTAACTTATTTTAAAATATTCATTATAAAGAAAAAGTTAAAAAAATCCCGGAAAATTAGGAAATTTGGGAAAGAACAGTGTTTTTTATAGGATTCTGGAATGAGCGCAAAGATCAAAAACAAAGGACAGGAAAATGATTTTCGTGCTAGTTGTTAATAAATAAATTCGCTCAGATAAATTCCATGTTAATTATCTAATTAACAAAAAATAAAAATCGACTTCCAGGCACTAAAATGTAAAAAATAACTAAACGGAGGTTTTCATTTAGAATAGATACCTAATCAGATATTTTCAAAGTTGGTGCCAGCCGATGCAAAGCAAATCTAATATATGTATTTCGATACGTAGAATACATATTTACCTATTAGATATTCATATCTTAAAATATTCTATTCTAAATTAAGGTATCTATTCTAAATTATCTAAAAAAAAAAGAAAAAAAAAGATTACGACGAATTGATGACCTCCTCCTTTTTGGAAGTCGGTTAAAAATGTCCTATATGTAACTATCCTAACTCTAGTCCCACTGTATAATCACAATCTTCACAACCTAATATTCTAGACCGAGGTCGTAAAAACTAAACACATCTTTTGGAATAGTTCAAACATAGGGACCACAAGTCCTATCCGAAGACATTGACTAAACCCCATTATAGCACAACGACCACGCATTATCGTAAATGTATCGTCGTTTTAACTTTACGCCCGGGACATAAAAGTTGCCATCTGTCACTATGTGCCTCGAAAATATTTTAGGGCACGTTTTTGGTAACAACTTCCCTTTTGCTTATATTTTTTGAAATGGACCCTTTTTTCATGTCAATCTTTATTTTCTTTTATATATTTATAAAGTTATATAAAAGGTTGAATTTCTATGAAATTCAAAATGTGCAAATATAGTTAATGCAATTTTTTGTTTTATTTTATTAAATATAATATGTTAAATACATATTATATATGCATATATTATTTAGAGTATTCTATATTGAGTGGTATCTATATATCGTTATAGTATATGTTAGAGCCAAGATTAATCTAGATATTATGTATATCTTTATTTACTAAATTATTTCCGTCGTTACGTAAAATAATCAAATTTAGAATATTTAAAGAAAAATGCTAAGTGTTAATTTATATGTTATTTAATTTATGTCTATTATATTTTAATTTAAGTCCAAAAATTGTACATTTTGATAATGAATGACTTTTTATAATGAAACGTTTCTCCTTCTAGAAAGTTTCCCATTGCTCTTGATCCTATTCGGAGTAACATCAGGCACAATAATGGTAGCAGCTGTTATAATGTTAGTGATTCTATGTCAAAGAAAGCAGCGGAAGAACAAGCAAGCACAAATAACTGAAAAACCGGATGTCACTGTTACGGCGGAAGAACTTTTTAAAGAAAACGATAGAAATTCAAACATAAGCGACTTGAAACTCGAGCTCAGACAAGCGAATGGCAGTTGTGAAATTGTAAGTACTGATCTTCTTTTATGCCTATATTTAGTTACTAGACAACTTTAATGTACCATACACTTAAAATTGTATTAAGAAGTGAAATCATTCAATTCATCTATGTATGATATATTCATTTATCTATACAAATAAATAAAACTGAAATGTTTGTTTGTAATGTTAAAATAACAAATTTTTACTACATGCATATGAAACTACATGCGGTACCTATTTATAGAAAAAATTAAATGTCTGTCTGTCTGTTTGTTCTGGCTTGTCTTCGAAACGGTATATAGCTCATGTTATAAGGAGTAACTTAGGTTACTTTTATTACAAAGCGACAGTAAGTCGCTTGTTTAATAAATAATAGTGCTTAAGCCAGATATCTTCTTCTATACTATACACTTCTATACTATATATCTTCACTTATAATTATGGCTCTCTTCATACATACTCGTAGTCATTGAGGGGTTCTTTGACTTTTTAAAAACCTCTCGGGGCTCTAAATTGTCGTATACTCACGTTTTAGGGTCCCGTAGCTAAATAGCGAAAACGGAACCCTTATAATTTTATAAATATAATTGATATGAAAAAATGTGCCATTTAATAGCGGTCTTTAATTACCGGTTTAGGTTAAATTACCCTAGTGTGTAAACATAAGTGTCGTATAAACATGGTAAATGTAATTTTATTAATTACTTCCGCAAATAAAACCTTCGCCATATTATAGCCCTATTATTTTTTTGATGACGATCCTGTCAACATATTAATTTTTTATGAATATTTTATGCTTTTTCCATTAATACAGTATTTTTGAACATGGCTTATTTCGTTATACGAATTAAAATTTTATTAAACGCTTTGGAATATAGGAAGATATTTTTTTTATTTTCTCTCTCTTTGCTAATATATTAAATTGGCTAAACAAATTATGAGCAAATGCTCTTTTCATTTCACATTTCACTACATGTTTTGTCATGCTTCAATTTTGAATCTCCTTCCTACTGTAATACTCCTATAGATTATCTCCAGTTTTTACCATAATATTTATTAAAGATTAAAACGTATCCTATAATATACTTGACACTTTTTAACATGTATATGAAAATAATAAGACATGGTAACTGATTTGACGATCAAATAACTGATTGGCAAAACACCTTTAAACCACCATTGAAAATGAATCATTGAACCTCTTTATCAAAAATATTCATGAAAATTGGTTGACAATTAGCAAATATATCTTATCACCTCCAGGTAAATTTCTAAGAAATTAATCAAATTTCTAAGAAATCTATTGTTAACTAACACACCGGCGTGTCCGCGGTCGTTGAGGGATTATATATAAACCAATTTCCACTTTTTTGAAGTTGGTAAACATTATATTACCAAATAAAGTAGCTTCCTATGATATCAAGTTGACAATGTTTTTGTTTACAGGATTATTCCAATACGGGTTCAGACAGTACGTTATGTTCGAACGCTAAATTAGGTAGCGGTATTCCTTTAGCAGGCACTGTACCATTGTCATCAATAAATCAAACAAGCACTTACCAGCCTTATAGATACAGCAACGATTACACAGATCCGGCATATTCAGACTGTTATAAGGTAATTGTTTTATATTTATTTATTTTTAGCTATGGCTATCTATCTAATTTTTTGGCTACTTTTGTGAATACCAAGGGTGAAGTGAGCAGTTTCACAGCAATTTTATACATATATGCGCTTGCAAAGAATAATATTGTAACAGAGTATTGAGATAGTTTAAAAATAGTAATTAAATTTTTGTTTGCTTAAAGTCCAAGATCAAAATTGCTACACAACTGAGTTTTAATTTTTTTTCTTGTAACTTGTAATTTTTTTTTCTACAAGGAAAAAAAATTAATATAAATGTATGGCGTTGACATTTTTTTTATTTTAATATAAGAAATAGATATGCTAAAACAAAATATTTTAATACTTCATGCTACGGAACCCGGAGTCAAACTCGAACTTGCCAGATTTTTAATGCTGAATTCCTCCTATACATTTTAAATGAATTTATCAATCAACTGACACGCTTTATAGCCATTAACTATAACTGTGAATTGAAATATAATAACAATTATTTCTCCCAGGTCAATGGTTTTGCTAATGGTTACCAAACCTATGTGCACTACGGTCATGACTACACTCCGGGGTCTCTACGAGTGACTTCACCAACTCTAGGCAGTGACAAACTTACCCCAAACAGGTATTTATCTTTTTATTTACTTTTTTAATCTTGCCATACTTAAATTTTAATTATGTAATAATAATAAAAAAAACATACTTTACTAATGATGTATGTGTGTATATGTTGTTAAGATCACATGAGTAAGTATCCCTAGAGATAAAGCTTCATACAACCATGTAAGGATGTCAACTCACCGATGAAATAACATACACGCTGCCCGTTGACAAAACCGGTTATAGCCGGCACGTGCTGTTGACAATCTTAAACAGAGTGGCACACGCTTACAACAAAAGCCACACACTTTGTAGGGATATTTAATCACGTGTGGATTTTAAATATATTAAAAAAGAAGACGTAACCGCTGGAAGTATTTAGTATTTTTTTTATATTTACCGGCAATTCAACTCATTATTTTTATGTTTCGAGTCTATCCTTTTATTATCCTAAGTATCTATTAAAACGTGAATATTTTATTATCGATAACCTTGTGATAATATGGCCTTATTTAGAATGCTTTTCAATCGGTTATTTTTTGTTTCTTTGATTAATAATAATGTTAAAAATGTATGTTTGTGTAATTTGCTAGTTTTTGTTCGTGGACTTGCTTTCTTGTAGATACATCGATAAAGAGTAACCTATCTGTTACTTCTTGATATAAGCTATGTTTTTTTTTGTAGTTTTTTTTATTATTACAACCCATATATTGTTTTTTTTAATTTAACATAAAATACGATTTTTGAAAAGAATAACGACAAACTTCTTTTAAAGACATAATAGAAACATGCACGCGATTGCACTTGTACTTGCACAGGTAGGACTTCAAATGGTTCACACTTCACGTTTTTTGCAGTACACTTTTTTACGAATAAGTGAAAGTGCATATATTGTACATATCATAACCATTCACACGTCCTTTGTACTGCAAAGATCGTACACTGCCAAGTACTTCAACGGGTACTCACCGAATGAACTCTAAACTACTTGTGGTACCTAATTGCTGTAAGAAAACTGTAAATATTAAATTGTAAAAACGTATCGCATGAATATCTCGCTGCTTCTTTGTTTATAACCGAACACTGTAAAAAACGTACGGTACAAAATTAGTGTTGATTCAAAACGATTTTAATTTTGTCGGTATTTTGAAATTTTCCTTTCATTTTCTCGTTCATTTCATCATGTCTCTTTAAAACCAGAACCCAAAACCTCACTACACGTCTTACGATATATGTGGGAGGAAAAGGGTAATGTTACGTCAATCAAAAGCAGTTATCCGTCATTATATTTGTACTATCGTCTGCCTGTGGCTTTTTCTGCGTGTATACTATATTTATTTATGTTTAATTTCTCCGTTTCTAATATATTAGCGTGGTCAAACAAACAAACAAACAAATCGAACAAAAAAAACATAAAGTTTTAGATAGTATTTTAATTAACATCAAAATATATGTATATACTGTGATTCACCCTCACTTCGTTCGGGTTCGCCCCTAGGTGATTCTTTAAATTAACATAATTTTTTTTATTTATTAACCAATTAAATAAAACTGATACTAAATATTAAGTAAAGCTTACCACAATACATTAGTGAAAACCACACCCAAATCGGTTAAGCTGTTTCTGACGCATAGAGTTTTATATACATATATATATATATATATATATATATATATATATATATATATATATATATATATATATATATATAATATACATATATATTTATATATATATATAAATATATAGACATACAGACACATATATCTTCCATGTACAGATAACGATCAGTTACACTTTTATACTAGTGTTATATTAAACAAACTTTCATTTTTCTATAGATCTATCAATGGAAGTTTACCAAGGAGTGTTGACACGCCGTCCTCAACACAGTACAATGGGAATGGATCACAAAGCAATTCCTTACAGCGCTCCAATAAAAGACAAGACAGTAGCGCTGGTTTGAATAATTTAGCGAACGAAGGTTGGTTATGTTTTATTTAAGTTTATTTCTGTAAGTTTCATTTATTATTAAAAGGGAAATAAATAGAAATAATAATTATTATAAATTATAACAGCGTTTTGATACAATATAATATATTATAAAGTAATTTTGTTATATTTGCCGATAGTAAACCATATAAGAGCTTAACTACACCAGATTTTGTTAATATAAATATTAATATGAACAAAATATTATGTATATATATATATTTTCCTATAATCAAGGGCTGGAAGTGATCTCTTTGATGAGACAAGTTGTCTTATGTACATAATATTCCTCATAATTTTCTGCTTTATAAAACATAATACATAAATAAATAAATAAATAATCTAATATGAATATAAAAAAATATTAACTAAGGAGATAATAAAAAGAAATTGAGTTTCTCACTGGCTGTTTTTAGCAGAACATCCTTCCAGGCAGTGGTCAACTTACATACTGACATTTAATTTAAATTTTATAACATATAAAAAATGCAAAATTTTAAATCTATTTGAATAAAGTCTAAGATTTTTATTTATTTCTAGGCGCTAGAGTACCAAATGGCGGTATAATACAAGGTGTGGATGTAAGATATGCGGCTACATATGGAAATCCCCATTTAAGGACTGGCATAAGTACTGTTCACACAGCCAAGCCTGCGTCTACGCCGGCACCGCCCCCATATTCATCAGTTAGAAGTTCTGTTATATTACCATCAGGTACTACCATTATATATAAAATATCGTATAAATATAGTGAAACCAATGACCCAGATATTGGCATTTATAATTTTAGTTATCACGTCGGTGGCTTTTATTAGCAGAATGTTTATAAATTATAGCTACTAGCTGGACCCGCGGCTTCGCCCGCGTTTTAATTTAAATTACCTGAGCTAATCTGAAGATTGCCTCAAAATTTAATCAAAATCGTTTTAGCCGTTTTGGAGTCCATCGATTTTTATATACATATTTTAGATTCGTTAGATAACTTTCCTAGATAATCTCTTTTTACCCAACTGCGGCGAAACCTAAAGAAGGTTTATTATGTGTTTGACGTGTATGTATGTATGTAACAAACATAAGTTCAGCACGGCGAAGATTTAAATTTATAATACTATATATTCATTTTTGCACTTATAAAAGCAATACAGAAATTGCATGTTAAATAACATGGCCACTAATATTTAGTGATAAAGCTAGTAAAATATCATTTACCTCTTATCAACAGGTACTTCATCACACTCTATCACGTCACCAACAAGCGTCGCGTCTCCACAGTGTGCCACGAGCCCTATAACAAACTCGACGATGTCCACTGATAGTGCACAGCCTACGGTAAGTCTATTGTATTTACTTTCTTAGACTTACTAGCTGAACCCGCGGCTTCGCTCGGGCTAAGAATACAAAAAATCTTTAGTTTATGCTATTAGTAATAATGTATGGAAGTCTGCCCGATTTGTTGACATTTATGATTACCGCTCCGCTCTCATAAGTAGAAGCATGGTGATATATAGCCAAATAGCCGTCCTCAATAAACGGACTATCTAATGCAGAATTTTCCAAATCGAATTAGTAATTCCTGAGATTAGCGCGTTCAAACGAGTAAACAAACTCTGCCTCTTTATAATATTAGTACTGATACAAACAGTTCACATTTAAAAAAATATATATTTTTTAAACTTTTTCGCGGTTTGATTTTGATTTCGTTGTTGACGTTTAAAAAAATGTTATTACATAACAATTGTGTATTTACTACATAGAAATGAATAAGTTTTGCTATTTGTAAGACTGATTATTGTAAGTTGTATTAATTAGGTTTAGTTATTCTTATAGGGGTTGCACGATCACTGCTTGACCAAAACTTAAAAAAATAAATAAAAAAAAGTTTATTTCCTGATATAGAAGTACCTATTGGATATGAGGTTAGAATTTCATAAAGAAGATGAAGATTCATTAAAACAGCGAAATCCTCAATCCTATAGTAGAACTTCGAAGGATCGATAACATCTTTAAAGTTGCTAACTTTTACGTAATACCTATACTCCACTTACTTAAAAATATATATCCACTCCCACAGCTTAAAATATCTCATATTACTTTTGAAATGACTATTTCTTTATACTAATTAATCAAGAGTACCTAGCAAGTTTTCGAAAGAGATGTGACGTCCAGCAACCCGCACTTGGCCAGCGTGGTGGACTATGGTCTGATCCCCCTCGTATTCAAGGGAAGCCCACACCCAGCAGTGGGTCGTTAAAAAAAAGGCTAAATACAATAATATAAATAGATACAATTAATCAAGAAATTACTTCGTGATCGATCTGACACGCCGTCTAATCTCACAAATACGAGCCATGAGATATGCATATGAGATATTATATTACCTAGTGCATGAGTTTGTGAGCGGACACAATTGCACTTACTATTCCTTTGACTCTCAAAGTACAATACAAGGACAATATGACATGATCAGTGAAACATAATACTTTCTTAGATTTACGCGAATATTTGATATTTTAAATAAAACTATCTTTTCGGATTATTTCGCGGATTTATTTTGTTTTTTGGTTCCCGACGTTTCGAATGCTTTACAGCAATCATGGTTACGGGAGAGACTTAGGGATAAAGACGTCTCAAAGGCATTATATACTGTTACAGAAACAGTATATAACGCCTTTGAGACGTCTATAACCTCAATCTCACCCGTGACCATGATTGCTATAAAGCATTCGATACGTCGAGAACCAAAAAACAAAATAAATCCGCGAAATATTTCGAAAAGATAGTTTTATTTAAAATGATCGGAGAAAATCTTGTGTGCACTACATAAGTCGAGTGTTATCATTATTCGTTCAAGTTATCAAAAGTTACAGATGAGCTATATATTATATAGATTTCTATATAAAACTAGATCATTTATGTCGTCATCGTGTCTTAGTCCATATTTGTCCAAATTAACAATTTTAAAGATTTTTTTTAAAGAATTATTGACATTTAAATGTCAATTCTTTTGTTATAAATTACACAGTTTTCTTTAAAACCCCAAAATTTATTTTAATTAAATCTGTACATAAATCTTAGAAATAAAGCTTCTTTTTTTTAAATAAAGGATTAAACTCTGTATTGTCAAGTACAACAATATTGGTAGTTTTTACAAATAAGCACTAAGGTGACATATGAAGCAGCAAGTCGTACCTAGTATGTAATGGAATGATTTGGTCATACCTTAGAACAGATTAGGCAGAGCTAGATTAGTTCATGTAACGTCATCGGCCTGACTGATTACTTCAAAGCCGTTAGTAATCTCTTAAGCATCAATCTCCATGTTTGTACTAGTGCGGAATTTAGTTCGCACAAAATGAGTGGAAGTTTTATTTATTTACTTTACTCGTATTATAAAAGGCTAAAGTGTTAAGAAGTAATTATTGCATATTACTAAAATATGACAGTGGTACCCCAGTGGTAACAAGTTTGAGAAACCGAGTGAAGCGGGATCAAATCCCGGTTCTCGCACCTCTGATCTTTTCATTTGCTAATAATTTTCAACATGACTACCACTTGGTTCATGCTGAAATAAGAACATTGTAAGGAAACCTGTATGTCTGAGAAAATCTAGCAAGTTTTCGAATAATATGTAAAGTCCGTCAACCAGCACTTGGCCAGCGTGGTGGACTATAGCCCGATTGCACTAATATTGAAGGGAGACTCGAGCCCAGCAGTGGTATTGTAAAAATGGCTGAATTGTAAGATATTGTATAGAAGGTATATGATATTATGATTGCCATAGAATCTCCATAGCTATTGTGTAAAGCTACATTCATAAAATATACATCATCTAACGCACGTAGATGATATTTTGTCAGACAAAGATAGATTTACAGTTGATCCCAAGAAGTCAGCTAACAGGCATAGTATAAAAACGCATACTTTACAAACAAACAGACAAATCACACACTTCAGCCATCATATACAATCAAAGTAAAAGTAGTATAAGCAATAAATATTTACCAGTAATATTATAAAATATAAATTATAAAATTATATTAAAAATAAAACCATAAAAACTTCTTGATTTTATTAAAAATCATTATTCCTTTAGAATAGTCCACTTTTGTCGCAAACTAAAATAAAATTGCAGTGTCTTGAAAACATTGGGTGAACTTTTCTCAATATCCGTCTTTCCCGGATTATCTGAGAGTTCGAAACCTAAGCGTTTTACTACTTTTTGGTCGCGAATTTCACTTGATTGCAATGAGAGTAAAAATTTTAAAACCAAAAAGTTTTGAAATGAAATTATGTGTATTCATTTATTTTCTTTATTTATTATGAAATGTGACTAATAGAGTAATATTACAATTAAATAATTTTATGCAACACCCTTTCTAATATTATGTGGAAGAACAATACCTTTCTAACTATATTTGCTTAAACATCTATAAGTCTTTAATAAGTAGAAGTTTTAGCAATTTATCCTCTAAAATAGGTCAAGAATAGTACATACACATTTTATGTTTGTAAAACACAAAGTTATGTGAGGTTGGCACTTTAGTCAGACTACTATTTGTATGTATGTATGTTTGTCTTTTACGCTGTAACGGCTGAATGGATTTGGATGAAATGAAGTAGATCTGGAGAAGCAAATAGGCTATACTGTTAAGCACCTAGGGACGTACCCGAGTGATGCGAGTTTAATTGCTAGTATATTATTAAAATCATAGTATGTGTATAATAAGTTTAGTATCTTGTTGTAATTAAGTTAAAAATATCTTGTTGTTAGGTGGGAGTGACCGCCTCTGCCACTCCTCAGTCGCCGAGCTCTCACTATATACTTGCGCCGTCGAATCGATCTTTAAGTAACGCTACTGTTACTAAGAAAGGTAAGATCCAATTATATTTTATAATTTTGTCTTTGTTAAAGCTTGTATTATGTATGTATATGTATGTTTGTTACTCTTTTACACTGGAACTTTTTGACGGATTTGAATGAAACACACATATTGATTATGATCCGGAGTAACATGTAGGCTATCGTTATAAGAGGACAATAAAACCTTTTGTATAGACCGTTAGCATCTTTTTTAGGGTTCCGTACCCGAAGGGTATCTACGGAACCCTATTACTAAACCTCCACTGTCCGTCCATCCATCCGTCCGCCATTCTGTTAGAAGCCTGTATCTCATGAACCGTAATAGGTAGAGAGTTGAAATTTTCACAAAGTGTGTATTTCTATTACCGTTATAATAACAAATAATAAAATACCAAGGTGGCGAATTTCAAAAAAGGTACCAAAAAATTAAAAAAAAGGACTATGGACCCTTCGTGTGCGAGTCCAACTCGCACTTGACCGATTTTTTTCTTTCGCTAGTAATGAAACTTAAATCATAATTAGAAGAATATGTAATAAGTCTATTAAAGAAGAATCGAACTCGCTAAACCGTAACGTACTTTGTTTTACTCAACAAAATAATATTGGTACTATATGTAAGTATAAAAGTCAACTAGGGATGTACCCGAACAAAGCGTGGAGAAGTTGCTAGTAAAAAAAATAATTAATCTCAGACTCTTTTGCAGGTAATGGCCTTCAGCAACCACTAGCGACACACGTATAAACGTTCCTACATTGTATAGTGACACAAACAGTGCTACAGACTAGTGATATAGTGTTTTCCAATATAGACATTATTAGTGAATATTTGATATGTGCGAATTATTTTGAAGCGTGGACAAAAAATCTGATAAGATTTAAAATAAATTGGGAACGTTAATTAAAATAATTATGTATCATATTTTACAATTTAAATGTGAATATTGTTATGTGTTTTGTTAAAATATCCATAATAATGCGTGTTTAATTATTTTTAATGATAAACTTCCTATGAGTTTTAATTGAAGGCCTATGTTTATACAATAAAATATAATATTTTCATTTTATAGCGAGATAAAAATCAATTTTATTTACATCTATCTATTAATATAATTTACTTTAGCTAGATATGTTTTGTAAAGATTTATAATAGTCAAATATTATTAACATTTAAATAACAAAGTTATGTTTTAAATTTATATACTCTGTCATCATCATAAAAAAAATTATTTAAATGTATTAAATTAATCGCCCTGTATATCATGATTGTGAATTATCGTCAATTTCAAATCACCCCATTGAGACTGGTATTTACTATGTATTTAACTATTTAGGATATAATATGTAAATTCTACTTTAATTTAAAATTGTGAGGTGAAGCGACTTAAACTTCGAGTGCGAAATGGATGGGTGAGTATTTTGATTAGCCAATTTGTATCACGTGCGTTAGTACGTTTGGCCTTTACTTGGTTGTAAATAATGAAATTTTAAAATTGTGCGTGTTTAAATTGTATAAGACCTAAAAAAATATGTCACTTAAAAATATATATAATAATTTAAATATCAAATCAATGACCCGTGCCTCTTATAAAAAAAAAAACATTTATTCTGTAACAACACGTTGAGTCTAGGCTAATTAAAGTATACTGGATTGAAAAATATAAGAGATAGAATTTTATTTTTTATTTGTCTTGAAACTATCCTGTTAAACTCTGCTAAAATGTTATCAAATAATCATTATTTCAACTAGTTTAACTTTTTTGTTATATTTTATAAAAAAAAAAAATTATTTTATTTTCATAATAATAATAATGAATATCTTGAGTTTTACTTTTTATTATGTAAAAAATATTAATTAATTACGATTCCATCACTTTCTTTAATTGTTAAAATTACAATACTATTGTAGTTAACTTCCAATCATTTAAAATTATAAAATTGTTATTTATACGAAAGCTTTAAATACATCAAATAATTTGTGCCATTACTCGACATACCATATTTTTTTTAAACTACATAATCTATAATGACATTCATAGTAAAAAAATTCAGAGTATTGTTAAATTAAATAATTTTAATTTACGTATTGATTTTTGTTCGAGTAAATATTAAATAAAATCTTATTAGTCAGATTAGTTCTTCCATTTTAATTTAATGTACAAGAATGAAATTTAATTGTCTCCTTAAAGATGTATATTATATAGAGTACAAAACCACGTTTAGGGTTCTACGTAGAAATCTTTTCAATTTATTATTTCAATATCAATACCTTTCGTGTGTTAGTTATTACAAAAATGTTAACTTTAATAATTACCAACATAAAAAGTTTTCAGTGTTACCAACATTAACAAAAAAAGTGGTAACGCGATGTTACCAACATAATTATGTACATACATTTTTACCGAACCCGGTAACAAAAAATCCTGTCTTTTAAAAAAATCATTTAGATAAATAAAAAAAATCCTAGCTTGTCACTAATGCTCAATAATTACTCGTAATGTGTAGTAAAATTGTTTTTTTTTTAATATTTCGATCTAAGACTGATTAGACTAACCAATGAACATTTCGTTTAAAAATCAGTAAAACAATATTATTTTATATAAATTCTCTGTACATTTTACACTAAATATGTTTTGAATTGAAAACACAATCTAAAAGAGATAGATACTTTGTGGTATTACCGAACGCCGTCATTTTTATGTTTTCTAAACCTGACTTTTATTTTGTCCAACGATAACATATATAATAAAAATCATAACACAAATATAATAAAAAAATCAAAAATAAATAAAAATCTAAGTACATATAATTTTAGCACATGCTGCTCTTTAAAAAAAATTGCATCGGGTGACTGATGCCAGCTTCCAGAGAAAAATGTTCGAGCCTCTTTATTACGTCTATGTAGTATAGCCTTATTTAGCTGGATAGCGTTCTTCCGTTGAATCAAAATTTAATAGAGCGTTTGATGAGACTACATACTTTCTTCTTTAGAACATTTTTTGTTGTAGAATTGAAAACAGCTTTTTGTATATTAATTTGCCTCTCGATAGTAAATATTTTATTATATGGCTTATTCTAACAAAAGTGGAATATGGAAATATTTAGAATTATAAATCATATGTAAATCTAATAGAATTGAATACAGAATAAATGTCATAAATATATATATATATATATATATTTATATTATATATATATATATATATATATATATATATATATATATATATATATAAATATATATATATATATATAAAAGAAATGTCAGGTCAAAAATATCGTCATATGAAATGAATGCCTTAATCTAAAAATAAACTATAATTTTTTTTTGTTTATTTCATAACATTTAATAGTTACTAAAAGATTTTTTATGGATACATAAGTAACACTCCTTTGTCTAAATTCAAATTTAATAAAAAAAAAATATTTTTAAAACAACAATATATTGCTATGAAAAATACATAATATATCTAACATCTATCTAGATGATAATAAAACCAATTAGAGTTGCAATTAATTGGTAATTACTGTACTTTTTCAGAAAGCATTTGTCAAAATCTTGTACAGCTCACCGAAGGCTATTTCTATTTTAGAGACGACAAATCGTAATTGTTTGTTCAACCTTGTTGTATAATGTCGACAGCTTAAACATTAGACCAGGTCTAGTTGAAAATAGAAGAATAGAACTTGCATTTCCGGAAAAGAACACTAATAACTAAAATAAAAATTAGGAAGAATCTGTCATTCATTTTAATCTATATATATAATAAAATTGTAAATAAGCCGAATCTGCACATTAATTTTTTTTTTTGAAATCTTTATTGAATTAGACATTATTATGGATACGGAGGATAGGACCGAATCTATAGTTTTTAGAACTTTTGTCTGTCTGTCTGTCTGTCTGTGACCTTATCACGAAGAACCACTGCACGGATTTTGATGAAATTTGGTATTATAATAGCTGGCTTTCCGCGTCAACATACAGGATACTTTTTACTGAGAGAAAATATGTCATCTCTGAGAAATCTATACTAAACGTCAAAAGTTAAGTAGGGACGAACTCGAGCGGTGCGAGGGTGAGTCGCTAGTTATACATAATATGTCGTCTGACTTTAAAAATGGAAGTGATACGCAATTTGGTGTATGTTTGTTTTGAGACACGATTTATTTTTTAATTAAGGCTAAAATTTTATACTAGCCATATAAAAACTTTAAGAATAGCTCTGTGAGTGGAACGTTAATCCCTCCACGACCGCGGAAGTCGGCATGTCAGTTAACAATAGATTTCTTAGAAATTTAATTAATTTCTTAGAAATTAATCTGGAGATGTTAAAAACTAATATAACGTGATATTACATTGGCTTACAATTTATTAGAATAACATTTACTGAATACTTTTAAAGTATTCATATTTTAAAGTTCTTTTACATATCATTTGCAAACTAAAAACTTAACTAAATAGAAATATGAACATATACATATACATCTTACTTTCGATTTGTTGATTGGCCTCGAGAATATCGATCGTCTATCAATCAAGAACGTCGTTAAAATGTATGTTAGGCTCTATATCGGATAATTAGGCGCGGAACAATTACGGTGTAATCATTAAACTTTCATAGTATCACCACAAATTACTATAGTTTTAAGTCTCGAACTGAATTAAATACTCACATTAAATACACAAGTATTGACATTTGAAATATCAAAAGTTTAGCTTGAAATATAAGGGAAAATTGTCATATATAAATATTAGGACTAAGTTTTTAAAGGAGATAAAATGTTTTCAATTCTACATCATTATAACAGAATGGCATATAAAAATATTATTTCTTTCATATTATATTTATTTTTGTGTTAAAATAATATAGTTAAAAGAGTTAGAAAGAGTTAGAAAGTTGTTTTTTTTTAATTTTTTATAAAATATTATTTTAATAGCACATAAAATTTGTTTTAAAAATGTCATAGAAAATTAGACTGTAATTCAATAATTATTCATAGAATTTGTGAATTTTATTTTAATCATCTCATCCATCTTTCTTTATTTTAAGTTAAAATCAAAGGTTTTGTGATTTCTTACGAATAAAAACAACGACCTTTAATATATCATTCATTTATCAAGTAATAGTTAAAATACTACATGTATGAGAATATGTTAAAGAATTTTATTATAAAGAAATCACAAAATTGAGTTTATTTTATGTCATAAAGTATTATAAATAGATAAAAATGCTTATACATTTGCTATTAAATTTATTAGAAAATGTTGAAATATTAGTGTATAGGATAGTTTTTGAAAGGCATAAAACTTTTTTTTTATTATCAATTTCTTTTTTCTTTTCTGACTTTAAGAATACTGTTTTCTATTACAATAAAATAGTAAAAAAATTATAAAACGTACGATTTACCTCTAAATTTCGTATAAGAAGCACTTACTAATCTAGTACTATAATGTAGTAGATATCATTTATCGCTATTTACAAGTGTATAATAGAATAATTTTATTTTCATGTTCATTTATGATAAAATTAATACGTTTCTTATATATATGTAAATGGCTGTAAATGATATTTATATACTGTGTATATTTATTTTTTCTGTGATACATAGATTAAAGTGTGATTTCTTTTGTAAATAGTGGTAAAATAATGTTGATTAAATATACTAATGTAAAGCTTTGAATTTGATAACTAATATAGTGTATAGGATACATTTTTTGTGGATTGATAGAAGAGAAGTGTT